TGAAATTTTCATGAGATTTCCCTCTCTCAACACTATCCAAGGTTTTCCCTTGAAGATCCAAAGCCCTCTCCTTAAACCCCTCATCATCACCAAAAACCCTTTCCAACTTCTCCTTAATCTCCCTATGCCCTACAATCCCACTCTCATCTTTCTCCAACCTCAACCCGATCTTCCACTTGTCGCAAATATACGACTCGTTCATGAACTGATCCGTGAAATACGGCCAGCACAAAAATGGCACCCCACCGCACGCAATCCCCTCGACCGTCGAGTTCCACCCGCAGTGGCTCACGAAGCACCCGACCGACGGGTGGGACAAAACCTCCTGCTGTGGGGCCCACCCGACGATCATCCCCCTCTCCTCCCCCACCCTCTCCCGAAACCCTTCTGGATACGCCCCCTCCTCATCATCTGTAGTATGGGCCATCACGTCCTGCCTAACGACCCACAAAAATGGCCTCCCCGTTAGCTCGAGCCCAAGTGCCAACTCACGGAACTGTTCACCACCGAACACGGCGAAACTGCCGAACGCGACGTACACTACGGAGCTGTCGGGTGGCGGTCTAGCCACGCCAGGCAGGCGGGGTCCTCGGGCCAAAAGTGGTCGGCCTGCTTCCCGAGACGGCTGCTCGCCAGGAGTGGGCCCACGGGCTTTAGGAACGGATAGGCCCGGAATACACCAGGCTCGAGATTATTGGACGAGTTGCAAATTTGCCAGCGTGTCAGCTCGAGTGAAGAGTGGACCTGGCTGACCATGTTGTAGATGGCTTTCTGCGTGGCCTCGTCACCGACGGATGCCCATATGAAGTTCTTGGAGTGCACGGGTGGCGTGTCGGGCCCAACTCAACCATTTGCTTCTTCAAAATTTTTCCTGAAAATTGTACAAGAGTTAAAGTGTGACATGTTAGCGGATGAAAAATCACTCATTTATAATCAAAATGTAGCGGATGAAGTTTGGAATGAAAGTAAAAATAAACAGAAAAGATTACCATCACTGTCTATTAAGCCATCTCTCACTAACTTAGGTATGCTCAAAAACGAAGCCAACGAAGCCGCAGAAGCCGGCCAGAAGACGGCTCGTTTGAGCCCCATTCTCTCCGCCACTTGTGGGGCCCACGTAAACGAGCCATCAGCAATAACACAGCTCACATCATTATCTCCTTCGCGGTTCAATTCTCGACGAGGGACTCAAGCTCTCCTTGCATGACTCCGTACACCCCTCTCGTCAGCTTCAGCACGTCTTTCCTGTCCTCCCACGGCTCGAGCCCGTCCGGGGGGTATATTTCACAAAAGGCACTAGCACAACTAGCAATGTGTGCTAGGGCACACCTAAGTATTTGCGGGTGTTGTGTGCTTCTTCTCTTTCTCTTCCTTAGGCGTGCAATCTCTATCAACCAATTAAAATGCAGCATTTGCAGTGCACCCTTAGGTGTTGTTTTTTCAAGATGCTACGGTGTCATTACTATTAGTATATCACTTGTGAGTTGTCTCACATCGTTCATACATAAAAAATAGACCCACCTTATAAGTCTAATGGGCTACTTCTCCTTCCACCAATTGGTTTTGGGATGGAACCCCACTTGGGCTTCATATAGGTTTTTCCCGCTTTTGGTGCGCTTCATGTTAATGAGACCGCACACGTTTTCCCCCCAGTTTCTTACATGGTATTAGAGACAGATTCTATTGGGACCGTGCGATGACGTACCCGTTTATGGGAGTTCGCTTTCATACATGGAAAATAGACCCACCTTATAAGTCTAATGGGCTACTCCTCCTTCCACCAATTGGTTTTGGGATGGAACCCCACTTGGGCTTCATATGAGTTTTTCTCTCTTTTGGTGTGCTTCATGTTAATGAGACCGCACCCGTTTTCCTCCCAGTTTCTTACAATTACGAAACTATCTGTTGAGGTTTGTAACCGTTAGACTAACTATCTCTGACGGTTACATGATGATCTAACGGTTACAAATACTGACGGAATAATTTCGTAACAGGACCTTAGCATTTTCCTAGAGGTCCATGATTGGTGGAATTTGAAACAATTTTTTTTTGGGAGACTTCTTTAAAAATCCCCAATCCTTTTTCAAACTTCCATGTCAGTCCCTCCATAAAAAAAAAAAATCCACTGCACTCCCTACCCCTCAAATCATTATTCCACTTAAGTCCCTCTCTTTAAAATAATATAAAAATAAATGAAGTTATGACATCACCTCACTAATACTTAACTTTATACATTATTTTATTGGTTTCTTATACCTACCATACATAATAATATACTATTTTTATCAATCTTCTTCCCAAAAAAAACCTCCCATGTCTCCCTCCCGTCACCTTCTCCTACAATATTTTCTTTTTATTTTTTATCTTTTTTTTTGTTTGCAGGTTCGACCTCTGGCGACTAGGGGTGGGATTTTATACTCGAGAACCGAACCGGACCAAACCGAAAATAACCGGTTCGGTCCCATTATTTAAAAAAAAAATATATATTTTTCGATTTTCGCTTATTTATTACATGTTTTGGTTCCGGTTCCCGATTTCTTTCCAAGTGTATGCGTATTAACCGATTATATATATGAAAGTATGCATGTGTTTATACGTTTATATGTATGAATCGGTTTCGGTTCTTGCACTTAATATTCAGTTCTTTATTTTTGCTTTCGGTTCTCGATTTTTCACAATATTTTTAGTCCGCGAGTTGCATTTTTTTGACATGTTCTTAACTCAAAACCGGTTATTTTTTAGTTATATATATGATTATGTTCTTAAACGGGCTTCTACTTATTTTGCGTGTAATAATTGATATTTTGTAAACTTACTTTGTACTGTTGTATTAATGACGGACTACTATGCATTCAACTTTATTGTGTTATTGTCTTTTCAATTTCAAATAATTACATGCATTATTGGTCACAAGGGATGAAATTGAGCATTGAGTGGTCGTATACGTCATGGTCAAAAGTTTGCCCTTTGACACGATGTGCTATGACAACTCATGCTAGGTCTATATTTAGGCTTAAGCTTTTTCTGTAAAGCCGAGCTGATTGGAGTAAAGGCCTTCACGAGCATGTGTACCAGCATGCGTAAAAGAATTGATTTGGTCAAAATATTCACAATCGAAATGACATGATATGACCCCTCACTGCATGTCTGATTAGAAATCACTTGCCGATCATGATTTCTAGCTTTTGCCATGTGCATCATTACTGTTAACGAACCAATCTAGCTCCTATATTTAAACGATACACTTTACAACAAATAAATCGACAAACGCAAAAAGAAAATAAACCACAAAATGGGGTCAAATCCAGTATGGAGACGGCCATAACATGCACTTCCCTCAAATGAAACATATTTTAGCATTAGTTTACCATTTTTTAGTACATATTGTAACAACAAATTTTATGAAAAACATAAAACTTTTGTACAACTTGATTATATTTCGATCAAACGATATGCGGATACAATCTCTATTTATATCCT